CTCCCTGCGCCTCCCCCACCCCAGCAGACCAGGAAGACGCGGGCGGCGGACCGAGACGCACCGCGGTCCCGCCACCTGGGTCCTCCGCAGCTTTGCTCCCAGTCTCCCTGGTCTGCCAGGGAGACGGGGAGCAAAGCCTCTGAGGACGCCAGCAGCAGGACAGCCGCGGCTTTGCAAAGCCTCACTGCCCGAGCCCTCCCGCGGCTTTGGTCCGCGTCTTCCTGGTCTGCAGACCAGGGAGACGCGGAGAAAGCCCCAGAGTACACGGGCGGCAGGACCACGAGGTCCTGCAGTCCGTGTCCTCCGGGGGAGCCCCGTTCGTAACTCCGGATCCGACATAAGTCGGATCCGCGTAAGTCGGGGACTGCCTGTACTTTATAGTTCTCAGCATAATTGCATTATTCCTTCACATATTCCTCCCTGACAGCATGGTTATTATCCTGTATTATTTGTATTTCCTTAGTTCAGGGCTACTCAACACATGGCCCACGACCCGTTTGTTTGTGGCCCGCGGTGCCGTTTGGGTTTACGCGAGGCTCAACAGGTGGCCTACAGATAGGAGACAAAACAAAAAAGTAGTCAATACAATGGTCTTCTGTTGATATGTGTTTTAGTAGTTAAATACCTGGACTGTCATTGTTTATTAAAAGTGCTGTCATATGGGTGGAAATCGGGTAAATATTGCATTTTATTAACATCAGCAGAACTGACTTAAATAGGGCCTTTGTGTTGTATAGTCTTGCCTTAATCTTTGTATTCATGCCTGTCAGTGTGAAAGACGCTATTTGCATATATTTGCATGTACATTTGCATGTACAGTGAAACCTGTGTTATCCAGCACGCTTGGGGATTAGGGTGTTCACGTTATCTAAAAATTCTGGTTATCCGAGGGTCCCATCAACCTAAGAAAAACCAATGGACAATAGTAGTAAAACTCAAGTTTTTAATATTGGTAGTTTTGTAGTGTGAGGCAGTTGGTCTCACGTTTCTATTTTGAGTTAAAGATGATTAGTACTTCTTAAATAAAAAATTGTTAATCCAATCATGGTAAACCAAGCCAGGCCTCTGCGCCTGAAGATGTGACAGTATTCTGGCTGGGGGCAATGCCGGTTAACAACGTTTTCTGGTTAACAGAGTGCTGGATAACAAAGCTTTCACTGTCTATGCAAACACACTTAAGTTGCAGCCCTCGGCATGTGCTGTGAGTATCATTGTGGCCCCAGGCTTCCAAAGTTGAGTAGCCCTGCCTTAGTTCGTAGGACTCCAATCAAGAGCAGTAACACGGAAGACAGACCTTGGCCAGGGAGTTCACAGCTTATGTGGCAGACGAGATGGCAGATGGATAAAACAGAATGGGCTAGAAGAAAGGGAGCGGCGGCGGTAACAAAATAAACATTCAGTAGAAAACAGGACATCTTGGCTGGCCGCTTGCTTAACCAATACCATCCAGTTGTGATCTGTGCATACCCCATGGATTTTAAGTTAAAACCACTTGTGTCATTTACCCATAAATTTCCCATTGTCGCAGGGTGAAATTTCTCTCTCTCTCATACCAGCATTAATCCTGAGTCACTTTAATGCTACTGACTTAGACTATAGCAGTAGACATGACCTCAGAATGTGTACCATTGAATGCAGTTTCTCTGGTATTATTATTACTGCATTGATTTCAAAAGTCTTTGGGGGTCTATACTTTGCTGTGAAAAATGGAAACATCTTGCTCTATGTTTTTATTGCACAGCTTCTGAACTCTTTCTTTCCATGCAGAATCACTACAACTGTTGCATGTAACACGGACCTCTCAAAATAGCCCATGGACACACAAATGTGTAAACTACAACTGGAAAGCTGTAAGTATAATGTTCTACAGAGATCTGAGAATATTTGCCTGCCTTATTTTGAATCTGTTTGTTCATATGTAGCTGTCCATCTCAAATATTTGATTTCAGCACAAGCATTTGGAAATGTGCTTTTATTTCTGAAAATAGAGAAAGTTTTCAAAAAAGAAAGCAATTCGATTTAACGCTTCAAATGTCAATGATTGTTATTCCAGGGTTTAAAAGGTTTCTGTTCTCACGGTCTCCATGCACACTTTACAAAAGTCAAATTGGTACCCACCTCCAGCATAATCTTGCAGCTCCTATTGACCAGTTTCCAGCCAATGGGAGCTGTCTGGGCTGTGCATTCAACTCAGATAGTGCACGGGGGTGCATGATGCTTAAAGGACACATGACCCCCCAAAGCCAGCTGCTCTAAGCAACATGTGCAGGCATGAAAAGCAGGGAGCCTGCTCCCCCTCCTGTACCACTGCCGCAGGTCACAACTCAAACCTTCTGTACCCCCACTCCTGCCCTCATTCCACCTCCTAGACCTTGCACCCTAATCCCAAGCCCAGGTCACAACGCCATCCCAGAATATGCACCCCCTCCTACACTCTTCCACCAGGACAGAATCCTCTCCTGCACCCATACCTCCTCCTGGACCCTGCACGCCTCTTGCACTGCAGTTCCCTACCCCAGGTCACAACCCCCTCCTTCACCAAAACTCCCTCCCAGACCCAAAACACCCTCTTGAACCCCAATACCCAACCTCGAGCTCCCTTCTGCACCCAACTGCCATTTTAGACCTTGCACCTCCTCCACTGATATCATGGAAGTGTGCAGCCCTTGACTGCACTCCAATTACTTGGAGTGGCCCCCCATCCAAAACTATTTCTCGCCCCCGGAACTAGGGTCCTCAGTCCAGCATCTTTCACTTGTGCTAAGTCACTTAAGTTATTTTCAGAGCAGAGAGAGGGTTTTTTTTAACCAAGGTCCAGAACTAAATTCAAGGAATTTGTCTTACTTGTGAAACTGGTAAGTGGGTGCAAGCACAGGAAGGCACAATGAAAGCTTCCCCATTTGTGCCCTTTGTTACAGTAATGTAAAATGATGGCAAACATGGGGACTACTTCTGCAAATCCACTGTGCACAGAACCCCACAGGGTCCTCACTGGGGCGCCTGGCTGTTGGGGTATTGCAGGAGCTGTGATAGTCAGTGAGCAATGCTCTTGGTTACTTTGGTCTTGTCTACACTGCCACGTTTTATCACCAAAAACTGTCTTTTGACATCAAAACAGCAAGAGTGTTCATACTGCCATGTGATTTTTGTCAGGAAAAACATCCAGTTTTGGTGACAAAACTTCCAGCCCTGTGAGTAACATTTCCCCATCCCTTTATTATTTACAAAGAGCCAAAGTGAACTCTGCTGTTTGTTTTGTGAAGAGAACTGGCTTCTGCCAGTATTCCACAATGCCTGCCTTGATGGTTGCACTCAGGCTATGTCTACATTGGCAAGATTTTGCACAAATACTTTTAACTCAAGAGTTTTTGCGTTAAAATATTTGCACTAGGGAGCGTCTACACTGGCATGTGCTTTTGCGCAAGAGATGTGCTTTTGCGCAAAAACATCCATGCCAGTGTAGACGCTCTCTTGCGCAAGAAAGCTCCGATGGCCATTTTAGCCGTCAGGCTTTCTTGCGCAAGAAATTCATGTTACCTGTCTACACTGGCCTCTTGCGCAAGAACAGTTGCACAAGAGGGCTTTTTCCTGAGTGGAAGTATCATAGTTCTTGTGCAAGAAGCCCTGATTACACACATTAGAATGTCAGCGTTCTTGTGCAAGAACTCCACACCAGTGTAGACAGGCAGCATGTTTTTGCGCTTTTGTGCAAAATCATGCCAATGTAGACACAGCCACTGTGTTTTGTGATCTCTGCTGCCCTGCAGGTATGCACCACTTCCCTTTCAAAGCTCCAGGAAATATCTGACAGCTGACTGAGCTGCTCCATTTGGGGAACAAATGAAGAACAAATCATTCTCCCTGTTCTGCCCTGCACTAGGAACACAGCGGCAGGCAGACTGCTGCTATAGTGGGAGAGCTGGAGAGAGGGCTGTGCTGCTTTGACATTCTTCAGCACGGAGAGCTCAGAGCTGAGGGAATCCTGAGAAGCGCAGGGATTAGCTTACCCACAATGCTTTGCTCTCTCTGTCGACAAGGTGCTAGCAATGTGGCCAGGAAATGATGACAATGGGAGGCAAAAAAACCCAAAACAGTGACCACTTTTCACTTTCGATGACTTTTTCATGTCAACAGCACTTTCGTTGACAAACCTTGCCAGTGTAGACACAGCCTTAACCTCGAAGTCCAGGATTTTGCAGGGCTGGACAGTTACTGACAACAGTCAATGCACAGATAACCCAACTGCAGCTACTAGGGAGAGAAACATGGGCCTTCACCAGCACACCATGGCTTTCAGGAGAGGAGTTCTCGGCTCCGGATGCTGAGCAAAGGTCATTCCACACGTGTGTAGGCAGCCTTCCTTCGCAGCAGTCAGCACGTCCAGGAAGAGTCCTCTCACAAGCAGCACTCTCAAGATCCCAATGATGAGCTAGCTGAAATCCTCCTGCAGGGACAAAAGGGAAGGAAGCACCCACCCAGCTGCTAATGGAAGCTCCGTTTTCAGGCATCCTTACACCAGGGCACCAACTCCCTGCCTCAAACTGAGCAAGCTCAGAGCTCATCTCCCTCCTTCCTCCTGGCCTGCTTCTTAAATTCTGCTGGGCAGCCACGTCGCTGCCTTCTGCTCCCAGTGCGGCGAGGCATTCTCCCCCACCACACAGACGGTCCTCTGTCCCCATGGAGCTTTTCTTGGGCTCCCTCCTTGAGAATCCCCAGTGCCATGCCGAAGCCAGTCTCCCATTTCAAGTAACACAAAGAAACGCCTGAAACCTCATTATTGAAGGGCCAGGTTTGACTTGCCAGCTTCTAGCATGGAGCTCCTATGGAAGCTCCTATTATTTTCACATTAAAATCCTATTAGTTCACCGCGATTAACTTTATTACAAAGAATAGCACCTGAAATAATAATGATTGGCCTCTTCTTTCAAAGTGTCGCTGGCTTCAGACTTTTTAGAAAAAAATAATAATTGGGTCTTACGTCATGCTCGGTGGCTGTCTCATTCCGATGAAATTGCCAACTGGAGATTTCATTAGGATAAATGCCTGGAATTAATGCTATTTAAATATATGCTAGATTAATTCACAACCTGCCATTTATTATAAAGTTTCCCTAAGTAACCACAATTGCTATTATTACAAAACTGTCCAGAAACTTTAAAAAGTCACGAGTAAGATTTGCATATAGGGATTCAGAATCTGTGCTTGTAATTTAGGAGTATGTCAGATGCCTGCTTTGGTAATTTGTGTCTAATAGAAAACACAATAAGGTGAACAATACAATTGGAAGTGAGATGTGATCTGCTAACTATTGGCCTACCAGGGTCACTAGTCATTTTTCAAACAGACATTTAATGAAAAGAATCAAACTAATGAGATGAATGGACTTGTTCACTGAATGAATATGACAATTTTGAGCTGGGTGGCTGTTTGGTGAATGAGTAGCAACATCAGATTATCAGAAAGATCACTTACTTGAATTTGTAAAAGCAGCGAGGAGTCCTGTGGCACCTTGGGCTGTGTCTAAACTACATGGCTCCATCGATGGAGCCATGTAGATTAGACAGATAGGCAAAGGAAAATGAAGCCGCGATTTAAATGATCGCGGCTTCATTTAAATTTACATGGCTGCCGCACTGAGCCGACAAACAGCTGATCAGCTGTTTGTCCGCTCAGCGCACTGGTCTGGAAGCCCCCCTGCCGACATCAAAGCCCTTTGTCGGCAGCCCCGTTATTCCTCGTGGGATGAGGTTTACCGGGGCTGCC